CTCACGTGGCTGATGCTGCCTGGGTTGGCTTGGCTGTGCAGGTCCACCACAGCTGCAGCCAGGTCTGCAAGGAGCCACAGGCCTTGACTCTCCATGCAGCAAGCTGGATGCAGACCTTGCTGCAGGCGTCCCGTGCGATGCTGCCTCTCTGTGCAGCTGTCGGGGAGGTGTCCCAGCAGGGCTGGCCAGCATTGTGGTGGCAGGGGCTCAGCTGAGGGCTCGTGCTCCTGCTCTGGCTCCTTTCATGTCAGAGTTATAATTTCATGGTCAGGGTCTAGGAGGTTTGTACACACAGATGCATTAGTTCTGCATTTAGTGATACTTGAATAATTGGTGTCACGTCAATTAGATCAGTTCTTGGATACTGCAGTGATAAGTGCTGTGCAAAAGCCTCTGGGCTGCAGGATATGAGGAATCCCAATGGTGAGTGAGGCTGGTGGGGCGGGCGACAGCGGGCAGAGCGGGGCTGGCGGGGATGTCAAGTGCCAAGAGAGCGGCAGGGGTACACGGCGCGTTTGTCTTTTGCAGGAGAGTGGTGAGGCCTGGGGCTCTCGAGGTGGTCAGTGCCTGGGGCTGCTGTGCTGGGGGGATGCTGCCCTGGCTGTGCAGCATGGGGCTGCAGGTGTGCGCTCAGGGAGGTGCTGCCAATGTTGCAAACTTCTGAGCTCCTCGATGCCCCAGTTGTCCTGTTGTGGTGCTCCTCTGTGTCAAGCCACTTGCTGGGTACCTAGCTCAGCATCTTCTGCCACTTCCATCATCCCTTTGGGCTGCTGTTACAGCCTGTGGCGTGCATTTGTACGCATGGTGGATTTCCCGGCACGGTGCTGCCAGACCTGCCAGCTAACGGGGAGGAGACTCAGGTGGGTCTGGGACAGTGTGGAGAACCCCAGGGCTCATGTGCCCACAATACAGATCAGTGCTGTCAGTCCTATCCCCGCTGCGGATTGTAGGCAGAGGTAATTTGCAGATGACAAATATCCCCGACAGTAAATATTTTTCCCACCCTCATCTTTCTACAAGCAGATAAGGTGGCAGCACTGTGGCAATACGGTTGCTGAAGGGAGACAAACTCTTTGGCAGTCATAAAAGTCTATTGTGTCCCTGCAACTATTTATAGATAAACAGAAGAAAGCCAATAAGCACAGAATGGAGCTGCACAGCTGCATTTGTTATGATGATGATGATGTTATCTCTCCCTCATACCCACACAGGCACGTCTCCAGTGCATGGAAACTTGCTGCTGGCAACAATTAAATCTCCATCCCGTACGAGGTAGGACAGGCGGGAGGTTTTGTCCTCTCCTTGCTGACTTGCTGCCAGTCTCTTCTCCCCCCCAGTGACCCAACACAACTCCTCCAGTAGCTTCCCACCCCTGGCTGAGCCGGGGAGCCACGGCACCCAGAGTGCTGCAAGGTCCTGAGGCATCCATGCAGAAGCGTGGTCCCTCCTTGGGGCAGCCTGGGGCTGCTGCATCTCTGGTCCTGGAGACAGCAAGATGTGGAGACCAGGTGGCCTTCATCCAGGGAGGGTGGGTCCTGGTGTTGCTTGCAGGGAGTGTGGGAGTGGCTGGGTCCTCACCAGCTTGTGCAGTAGGACCACAGGGTGCAGGTGCTCCCCACCTCCGGGAAGGGTGCAGGGGTGAGCCTGTTGGCTTTCCCTGTTCTGCCCAGCCAAGATCTCTTCTCCCATACCACACTGCTGCTGAGGACAGAAACAGGTCTGTTTGGAGGAAACCGCATGAGGGATCTGGGATTAAATGATGTGGCAGGGAAGAGCGATGGAGATTGCTGCTAATGAGGGCATTTCTCCAGCCTGTGGAGTGAAGATGCCAGGGAAGTGCCAAGGAGTGAAAAACTGACTCTGGCATGGGAAGGGGTCAGGAAGCACCGTGCTCTCCCTGTTTGGCGAGTGCTTGGCGAGGTCCCTGAGCTCTGTGGGAGCCTGCAGAGAGGGGCTGGGGCGCTGGCAGGGCTGGACCCACCAAAAGGGAGAGCAGGAAAGTTGCAGGCAGAAGGCCCAGGGAGCCTCTGCACCAGGCACCGGCGTCCTCAGGTGAGCTGTCGTTCATGTGGCATTGGGGCTCTTGACCAGCCCAAGTCTCCCCATGTCCCAGGGTGCTGCACGGCATCACCTGGCTCCCACTGGAGCCAGAGCCCTGCAGCTCCCCTGGGCATGCACAGCTGCTGCTCCTCCCTGGTGCCAGGGGTGCAGGAGGGGTATGCATCCCTGCCAAGCACTCAGCCTTGTCTCTGTAGGTCGTCCGCCCAGGGAAAGCACCAGGACGAGCTCTCCAGCTGCAGACAGCATCCGAGGCAGCAACTGGGAGCCCTTAACTGGACTGGAGAGTGGGATGATTTTTCATTGCTTCTTCATAACAAGAGGACAGGAGTAAGTGACTAGTACAGTTCGTTCACTCGGTAAAGATTTATATTATCACTTCATCCAGTAATTGGTATTCTGGGGAGAGAGGGAGCTGCAGCTCCAGCATCCGCCTCTATTTGTTTTCTCTCTGTCTTTCTCTCTTTCTCTCCCCTTTTCAGAATGAGTAATTCTGTCCCTCACAATCCCATTTAAACAGAGCATTTGCAGAGTGAATAATTAGTTACATTCAATTAGGTCTCACGTGCTCTCCCTTCTCACTTTGGGGGACAGAATTAGTTACATTCAATTAGGTCTCATGCGTCCTCCCTTCTCACTTTGGGGGACAGATGTGCTAATGAGATGGCACATGTCTGACATGCGGGAGCCGGCATTAAACACGCTGCATGCCAGCAGGGAGCAGTCAGCACTGGGGGAGGCAGGCAGCCAGAGGGGCCAGCCCGCTGCTGTGGGGAGACAGTCCTTCGGGGGCCATTTGGGGCCAAAAGCTCCGTGTCTGTGGCCCACATGATCCCAGCCTTCTCTGCCAGCAGGACTGGCAGGGCCCGCAGGAATCAGGGTCACATCTGTCCCCAGGGCAGGGTGCTCACTGGGCTGGTGCCGAGGGGATGCTGCCCAGCCTGGGGACCATCCCGCCAGCACTGCTGGGAGTGCCGAGCCCTGAAAGGGAGAGCTGCTGACATGCTTTTATCTCCCTTATTAAACCTAACATTAGGTTTTAAGAGGAGCCTTAAATAACATGCCACTGCCTTTACAGTAAAAGTCGCTCTCTGTTCCAGCTGCTCCTGGCTCTGGGATTTATGGCCTTTCTTATGCCACACTGCATGCTCTCGGGTGGTGGCAGGTCACAGGCTGCAGCTACTCTCCGTACCTGGAGCCTGCACTGGGCTTGCAGCCACTGCAGTCCAGCCCCATGCCAGCGAGTCAGGGCCCACAGCAGCTCTGCTATTGTGCGCCCCATCACCCTACAGCTCTGCCCTGCAGGGAGACGGGTCCCAGATGGTGCACGTGGTGATGGACGGGCAAGACAAGGTGCACTGAGCCTGCCTGCTGCAGGCAGCCCTGCCTGTATGCTCAGTCCCCTGCGATACGGGGTTGCGGTCAGGGCACGGGCGGTGGGGCTGTGTTGGACTGGAGCCCCTGTGCAGGCACGGGGTGAGCGGGCAGGAGCTGTCCCATTGCTGGGCAGCCTCGGGGGCCACTGGCTGCAGGTGCAGGGGAGCAGGCCCAGGCTGAGGGCCCGCTGGAGGGGGGGGACAGCGTAGGGAGGGCCTGGGGCCACGGCAGGGCTCAAGCACTGCGGACGGTGCCCCTTCCCTTCCCTCCTCTGGTGGGAGCGCCTGTCCCCGGGGCGTCCCTCGTCCCAGGAGCGCGGGAGGCAGCCGTGCGGCGGGGAGGCCGGCGGAGGGGCTGGCCGGGGCTGCGGGCCGTGCTGCTCACGCACGTCGGGAGCATAACGAGGCTCAGCGACAGCTCTTTGTCGGCGGCGCGGAACGATCGAGCCCCGTCCTCCCCCCGCGGCGGGGGCTG